ACATCTCCACAGTCGATTTACAGCGAGTAATAAAAAAAAAATCTCTTGTTACGTTGACACACAAATGCAGGTTGCAAACACAGTGCATTTTCTTGCACCTGACCACATGGTACAAAAGTGCCATGTGATCTGGTTGTGATATGTTTCCAAAAGTTATGCATGCAGAGTAGTTATATTACCATACATAGAGGTCCAGAGAATCATTAATTTCTGGGAGCGAAAAGGAGCAGTGAGGGTGAGTATGCCCTGTTGGTGGGGCCACCATTAAAGTAGACTAGTAGACTTGCATGGTTGCAGGTTCACTATAAAGGTTCCCTGTGAAACTTTTGGAAACATTTCCTATTTGGACAAACCACACACATTTTGTTAACCCCATTGCCTCATTTGGCTTTATATCTATGGATTGTGCCACCAAAATAAGGACATTTTGGGAGGTATACACAGGATAATATCACAAGTGTAAATCTTACCTTAAATTCTTTCTCTATATTGGCCAGCTTGGCTAATTCATTGCTCAGCTCCAGAGCAGTGTGTACAGGATCTTCACTGGAAAGAGATAGATAGGCTGGGCTAGCCAGTCCCTTGTAAGCATTAATCCTAGACCTTGAGTGGCTGAATGAATCATGTTTTTGTTTTTTCCATGCAATCATTGCACTTGCAGAAATAATCATGGGGCCGCTCTATCTTTGCTCCTTTTACTAATAACATGTGTACCACTTCATATTTCTGGCAGTGGGCAGCAAGGATGATGGGTGTGATGTCTGGAGAGAACCTTGTGCCGTCCTCATCATAAGAGTAGAAATCATCATCCTGTAGTTCCTGCTCACATGGGCTAAGGGTGAGTCTTTTGTTTGCTGCAAAGGCAGGATGATTCAAGATGGCTTCAAACTATCCTTACATACCCTTTACTAATTGCCAGAAGCAAGGCATCTCCGATCCGTGCCAAGTTTTCCTTCTTCAGTAAAAGCTCACTTACTTCTAAATGTTCATTGCCAACTGCTAGCTGCAAAGCATTCTGTCCCATGTAGTCCATACAGTTGACATTCAATGTCTTTGACTCCTCTAGCATTTTTCTTACTACTGGAATGTTTCCGTACTCTGCTGCATCCAGAAATCGTTCCTCCTCAGGGGTCAGGCTTGTTCCTCTGTTGTTGAACATAAAAGCAGGACCACGGACAGCCTGTCTCCTTCCCTTTTCCCGCATCATGGTCACTCTCCTTATAGATGGGCTGCTCTCACCTGCTCTAAAGGAGAAAAAAAGAGAAAATAAATGCTGCAGTCAACACATAGCAATAATCACTTGTACTCTTTATATTTTGTAGCATTCACTTTAAATTACTGTTTATTAGGATAAATAATTTGTGCAATTTTTCTTCTAAGCAATATACCCATATGGGGAAAAGTAAATGCTGGCAATTTGTAACATAAATTACGCTTATAAAATGTTTATAATACATTAATTCTTCAAATGCATTATTTTCCTTAAGCAAATCCATCTGAATGAATAAGTGTACATTGCTGGCAGACATAGTGCATTAACTATCCTAGCCTGTTGACAAACTTTTCCAGCTAGCTTCATTACCCATACTACTCATTGTATTCTGATCTTTGAATACATATCTGATCTTTGAAGGCAGATATCCAATCAAATAATCATCCAAATAGGTCAATGCTAAACAGTCAATATGTGAGTGCAAAATCTTGATGCTTCATATAAAAAGGTGTCCTATAAATTATGATCAGCAAAATAGTATGCTATTATAGTTATATACATAAATTCTCATTGTGGATTATTTTAAGCTTATAGCTATGGTGAGGGTTATTAGCTGCCATGGATTTGTTTGTGTAAAGGTTTCGATTTGTCTATTGGTGATGCAGGGCTCAAAGATTTGCATACTCTGATAGAAATCATGACATTTTGGCATTAAGATTGAAAATATGACTGATTATGCGAAAAAAAAAAAACTTTTATTTAAGGATAATGATTATATTTATTATTACATAGTTGTTTGGCTCCTTTTTAAGTCATAATGATAACAGAAGTCACCCAAATGGCCATGATCAAAAGTTTACTTGCCCTGAAATGTTTGACCTTGTTACAGACACAAAAGGTGACACACATGTTAAAATGGCAATTAAATATTTTCAATACTATCATATTTTCAATTTTTAGGTCATAATTTCACGGTTTCTGCCAGGGTATGCAAACTTTTGAGCACAACTGTATGTAGTTATAGTTATGTTCTTTGAAGATGATAGATACTGTATGTATCATTTATTTTTCAGTTCCGGTCATTTACTTTTTTGTACTTGGCTCCGACATGGTTGTGCTTAAAATACTTTAGTTACTGCACTGAAAAACAATACACTACTGCTCACTAGCAGTGTAAAATACATGACTGCAAATAAACAGGTTTACTTAACAAACTTCTTATGTATCCAATAAAATAGTAAAACTAAACAGGAAAAGGAGTACAATTCTGTTGAGCTAGCACAGAAAAAATATTTCTAAGCGGTTCAAGAGTAATACACAGCTGAAAAGGAGGATTTCAATCATGGGCACATAGCCTAATAACTGCATACTGTATATATCATTTTTCAGAAAAAGAAACATACTTGCAGTCAATTATTCCTGATGAAAAAATATAATGCTTATCAGGTTGAGAAGCCTCTAATGGGGGCAGCCTTCCTCCACATACCAGAGTAGAAGAGCATCTGTTACTTTTTTCTACAAATGTCGAATCTAGTCTTGGTCATTTGGGGAACAAGTGAAAAGATGCATTTAAAATGCATAACAGCCCACATGCTAAATAAATTTATGTAGGTAGCTTTGACTGATATTAGAATACTTGAAAAGAATAGGAAATAGGAAGAATATATCAAGAAGGAGGAAAAGAAAGTCCGAGAGATATTATTGTTAAATTCCAATATTATAGGGAAAAAAGAGGAGATCTGGAAGATGAAGGGAAGAGCTATTATAAAGTATGGGGAAATAAATTTACAGATAGTCACAAGTCTTGCTGCAGAGACTCTGCTAACAAGGAAAATATTAAAACCATTAGTTGATCAAATGAAGAAGCAGAACGTTCGATATAGCTGGAAAAATTGATGATCGGCAAGATTAAAGTTTCCTGAAGAGCTGAGAGACTTCTGCGAGAGACTTGAGTTGCAGAAAATAGATATTCCTGGGATGGGGGGGAGAGTGAGGGAGGATTGAGCAGCTTAGGGGGGGTCCCCCCTCTCCTACTTCCTGTAGTTGTTTTTTTTTTGGCAGGACGTTGGGGGAGGGTAAAAGGGAAGAGGTGTCCATGATTAGAGCTCCACCCCAAAGTGGAATCAAAAGTAGAAGAGGTCCACAAATGATTCAGAGGCAATAGAATAGCTTAAAAGGGGAGGGGGTGGGATGGGGAGAGGGGGGAAGGGGATGAGAGGGGGGTTGGTGGGGGGATGGGGGGGAGGCAGGGTGAAGGGTATGGGGAAGGGGTAGGTAGGTTAAGACTCTGCAATATAGTAGGAGATATAATAGTTTGGAGAAGTTTGAGGGAACGAAGGAGAAGTTTTGGACAAGATAGGAGGAGAGTAGGGATGGAGGAAAAGGATAGGAGGAAAAGGGAAGAATGGAAGAAATTCACTTTGTGACTTATAATGTTAATGGTTTAAATAGCCCTGGGAAGAGATTTAGGATATTTAAAGAGATTCAGCATAGATTGTCCTCATAGGTTTTTCTACAGTAGACACATTTGGGGCCAGAAACAAATGTGAAATTGAATTCCAGATATTATCCAATGTGGTTTTATGCAGATTCCCCAATTAGAAGAGCTAAAGGAGTGGCAATAGGTTTTGCAAAAAATATAAGGTTTAAATTGGAAGATAGTTTGGTAGACCCTGAAGGCAGATTTTTGTTTCTGAAGTGAAAATTACAAGAAATAGATTGCACACTAGCAAATATTTATTGCCCGAATAAAAAAACAGAGATATTCCTAAAAGATACTTTGAAAAAATTATTGGATTTCAAAAAAGGTAGTTTAATTGTGGCAGGAGATTTCAATCTTTGTATGGATCCTCAGATAGACATGACGTCTCCTGTGCAGAAAGAGGAAAGTAGATCTCTGAGGTCCTTGAAAAAATGATATATCAATGTCAACTTGTAGATATATGGAGAATTAAGCATATGAAGGACAGAGATTATACGTTTTACTCACATGCACATGAGAAGTATTCAAGACTGGATTATATATTGCTAGAATATCGACTCCTTGGGGTTTATTTACTAAAGCTGGAGAGTCCAAAATCAGACTCCCTTCTGCATAGAAACCAATCAGCTTCTAACCTCAGCTTGTTCAATGAACCTTTGGCAATGAAACCTGGAAGCTGATTGGTTTCTATGCAGACATGAGTCTGATTTTGCACTCTCCAGCTTTAGTAAATAAACCCCCTTGAGTCTTTGGTCAAAGTAAAAATAGAAGTGATGTCAATATCGGACCACTCTCCTGTCACAATGCAACTACTATGGGCAAGGAGCAGAAGGGGGGAAATGGTTGGAGATTAAATGAGACACTTCTTCAGGATCAGGAGACTGATGAGAAAATTAAAAAAGAAATAGAGCAATTCTTTGAAGAGAATGATTCGGAGGAAGTGTCTGTGGCAACGGTGTGGGAGGCCCATAAGGCGTATATTAGAGAAATTTTGATAGCGATAGAAGCTAAGAAGAAGAGGGAAAGAAGAGAAAAAATGAATACGCTTCTTAGGGAACTCTTTGAGCTAGAACAGACACACAAACATAGAGTAACAAAAGAGATTATGCAGAGGGTAACAAATAACAGAGAAGAATTAAATAATTTCCTGGAAGAAGAGAAGGGAAGAGTATTTAATAAAATGATAAGTGAGAGATATAGATGGGGAGACAGGCCAGGAGCATATTTAACCACCTCCCGCCCGCCATATAGTCCAATGACGGGCACAAGGCGGTTCTCTTGTTCTGGGAGGATGTCGTATGACGTCCTCCCATTCTCACCGTGCATGTCAGGCTCAGGGAGCGTGCAGCGCGGCGATCGGCAGTGCGCTGTGTCCCACGGACACAGCGGATCACCAATCACGAAAAGAGCCAAAGATGTCGGCTCGGTCATGTGATCAGCTGTGTCCAATCACAGCTGATCACATGTAAACAGGGAAATGCCAGTTATCAGCATTTCTCTCCTCTCGAGTTGTCACACTGACAGCTTGAGAGGAGAGGAGAGCCTGTAATCGGCTTTCCGGGGAGGGGACATGTACACTGATCATCAGGGCACTGATGATCAGTGTGCCCTGATGATCAGTGTAGCCCCAGCAGTGCCACCTGTCAGTGTCCATCAGTGCCTTGTGTCAGTGTTCATCACTGCCTCATGCCAGTGCCCATCAGTGCCAGATCAATGCCACATATCAGTGCCTACCAGTGCACATCAATGCCACATATCAGTGCCCATCTGTGCTGCCTTTCAGTGCCACCCATCAATGCCAGTCAGTGCCACCTATCAATGCCAATCAGTGCCACCTATCAGTGCTGCCAATCAGTGCCACCTATCAGTGCCAGTCAGTGCCGCCTATCAGTGCCAGTCAGTGCTGCCTCTCAGTGCGCATCAGTGCCGCATATCAGTGCCGTGTCAGTGCCGCCTAACAGTGCCAGTCAGTGCCGCCTAACAGTGCCAGTCAGTGCCGCCTATCAGTCCCATATATCAGTGCCATGTATCAGTGCTGCCTTTCAGTGCCCATCAGTGATGCCTGTCAATGCCCATCAGTGCCACCTACCAGTGCCTCCTCATCAGTGCCCATCAGTGCCACCTATCAGTGTCCATCAGTGCAGCCTATCAGTGCCCACCACTGCAGCCTCATTAGTGCATATCAGTGAAGGAGAAAAATAACTTATTTACAAAATTTTATAACAAAAACTAAGAAAAAAAATTTTTTTTTCCAAAATTTTCAGTGGTTTTTGGTTTGTTTAAGAAAAAACAAAAAACACAGAGGTGATTAAATACCACCAAAAGAAAGCTCTATCTGTCACAAAAAAAATGATAAAAATTGCATATGGGTACAGTGTTGTATGACCGCACAATTGTCATTTAAAGTGTGACAGCTCTGAAAGCTGGAAATTGGCCTGGGCAGGAAGGGGGTATAAGTGCCCTGTAGGCTAGCGGTTAATGAGAGCTCAGAGAAAAAAGAAAACTAGGAACTACTGTATATAGAGAAAATAAGGGATCCCAAAGGAGAATTAGTGTATTCAACTAAAGATATAGCTAAAGTGTTTAAAGAATATTATAATACCTTATATAATATTATTCCCCACAGTTCTAGAAATAAAGAAGAGGTAGGAAAAATAGAAAAAAGACGGACATACTTAAAAAAGGCGGGACTACCGAAAATAAGTGAGGAACAATTAAAATCTCTCAAATTAGAAATAACGCAGGAAGAAATACAAACAGCATTAAAAAGTACAATAGCGGGGAAAATCCCAGGACCAGATGGATATACAGTGCGGTATTATAAAAAATATAATGAACTATATGTACCTAAACTGAGGATATATATGAATGCATTGGATGGAGAGATGGAAATGAGGAAGGAATCCCTACAAGCACATATAGTTCTCATACATAAAGAATGAAAGGATGATACTCACTGTTCAAGTTATAGGCCGATTTCCTTATTAAACACAGGCACTTAACTATATACAAAAGTTCTGGCAAATAGGTTAAAAGATCATATGCCGGAATGGATACACATAGATCAAGTAGGATTTGTCCCGGGGAGAGAGAGTAGAGATAATGGACTGAGATCATTGTTTCTCATACAAAAAAGTAGGCAAGAAAAAACCCCTGTGGTGGTTCTCTCGATTGATGCTGAAAAGGCTTTCGATAGAGTAGATTGGGGATATATGTTGGATACACTGGAAGTATTGGGGATGGGTCAGAGAATGAGAGAATGGATTAGGAAATTATATGGTCAACCCTCTGCAGCAATCATGGTCTACGGGGAATTATCAGAGTATTTTGGGATGCAAAACGGAACAAGACAGGGTTGTCCCCTGTCTCCACTTCTGTATGTTTTGTAATTAGAATCTCTATTAGCTACAATAAGGAATAATATAGATATAAAAGGAATCTGGATAGGAGACACAGAGCATAAGGTGGCAGCTTATGCAGATGATATGCTGTTCTATGTGGGAAACCCAAGGATAAAATTGCCAAATTTAATGAGAGCATTGAAAGAGTACGGGGAGATTTCAAATTTAAAAATTATTCCAACAAAAACAGAGATTTTAAATATAAATCTTCCAAATCGTGATAAAAATAGATTACAGGAGGAATTCCCCTTCGTTTGGCGAGGAAAAGAACTAAAATATTTAGGAATAAAACTACCTGTATCCTCCAAGAACTTGTATAAAATTAATTACATCCCTTTGTTAAATGAAATTAAGGATGAACTAAGGAAATCAGGAGGGGGTACCACGTTGTGAATAGGACGTATAAATTTGATTAAAATGGTGATCGTTCCAAAAATTCTATACAAATTTCAAAATGATACCAATTTTGCTTGAGGTGATTGCAGAATGAAAGGATGATACTCACTGTTCAAGTTATAGGCTGATTTCCTTATTAAACACAGGCACTAAACTATAGGCAAAAGTTCTGGCAAATAGGTTAAAAGATCATATGCCGAAATCGATACACATAGATCAAGTAGGATTTGTCCCAGGGAGAGAGGGTAGAGATACCAATTAAATTACCAGAAGTATATTTTAGAACAATTAAAAAAATGTTACCAAGATTTATTTGGAGAAATAAAAAACCGAGGATAAGCTATGAAATTTTAAGTAGAAATAATGAGAAACATGGACTGGGAGTACCAGACTTGAAAAGATACTAATGGCGAGTTATAATGGTGAGAATTTTTGATTGGACACACAATGCAAACGGGAAAAAGTTGGGTTAAAATAGAAAATACATTAAGTTGTACCAATTTAAGTAGAATCGTATGGTTACTGCCACAATACCGAGGATTAGTAGACAGCACAATCTTGTTCACATTAACTGTTTTAAAAGTGTGGGATGCTTTACACAAACAGATGGGATGGGAATTTAATTCATTATTAATGTCCTTAGGGTCCACAGAGTTTTGCCCCCCCGGGTAAAGAAGGTATCATAGGGAAGTGGATAAAGAAGGAAGACTCACAATTAAGGGATATAGTGGTGGGGGAGGAAATAGAATCACTTAAGGAACTGTAAAAAAAAGATGTTTTCACAAAAATGGATCAGTGGCGTTATTTTCAATTGAAACACTTTATAGGGAAGCTTCAAAGCCTTTAAGAATAAGAAAGGATTGGAACCCTTTTGAGCATTTGTTAGATACACGGGGAGATGGGAAACATGGAACTTCTAAAATATATAAGATTCTCACTGAAACAGACACTGATATAAGGTCTCCATTTCTAGAAAAATGGGAAAGGGATATGGGAGTGACACTAGATGTGGAAAAACAGAGGAAAATATATAGAGTAATTCATGGGAATGTAAATATGAAGGAGGTTGAGATGAATTATAAGTGTTTGGCAAGATGGTATATCACACCGAGTGTGGCACATAGATTAAGTGGGGATAATTCACCTATGTGTTGGCGTGGATGTGGAGGTAGAGGCACAATGTATCATATATAGTGGGAATGTCCTAAAATCCAAGAGTATTGGGGGAAAATAGTAAGTTTGATTCAAAAAATTTCAGAGGTAGAAGTAATAAGAGACCCAGAGACTTGCCTTTTTCTTAGTACCAAGCTTTCAGTCAAAAAATATAAAAAATCGGGTTTATTGTATTATTTGAATGCAGCAAAGGGATTGATACCCAAGTTTTGGAGGAGACAGGAGGTCCGAAAATAAAAGATTGGGTTGACGGGGTAGATCAAATATGTAGACTGGAGGAACTTTATCATATGAATGAAGATAAGATGGAGAGTCACCATATAAGATGGAACAAATGGGATGAATTTAAAACTCAAAGTTAAATTTGGAGTTGATGGGGGATTAATATAGAACAATAAGGTTTTTACTTGCTCCTTTCTTATTTGAGATTGGATCCCTAGAAAGGAATAGGAAATTGCAGAGTCGTGGGGGGGGGGGGGGGGGGGGGGGGGGGGGAGGGGGGGGGGGAAGGGGGGGGGGAAGGGTGGTGAATAGGTAGGAGGGGAGGGTCTGGGAGGGGGGGATAAGTTGCAAAGATTAAAGTTCTTGACATTGTGATTATGTTTTTTATAAAGGATATATTTGTATAACTTGTTAATCTGAAAAACTAATAAATATTTAAATAACAAAAAAAAAATACTTGAAAGTGGTTGTAAACCTCAGACATGAAAATTAAACAAAGCATATCCTACCATAGTATGTACTCACCTGAATCCAAAGCACTCTCTGATCTCTTCTGTCTCTGCTATCTGCATGAATCACCTCTAATAGATTAAAACTGTCCATACATTAGTAATTTTTTTCATTCAACCAGAAGGGTGAATGAAAAAAAAATTAAAAAGCTCGATTTCAGCATTCACACGCTCGATGTGGATGAGAGAATCCCTCTAACTGAGCTATTGTATTCTGACAGGAGGGACATTTCCACCACCAGAATATATTGATCAGCTATAGCTGGCGGCTCTGATCAAGCAAAATTTTCCAGCATGGCGGATGTACAGAAGGTAGTCGGTAGATCGACTTTTGTACAACCACCCTACCAAACATGGATCAAAATTTTTTCCAGTTCCTACTGAACCAGACACATTTTTGTCTGACACCTCATCCTCCCAGGAGACCTTCCCCCTGCTCCAGCACATAGCAGATAATTCATACCCTCAGCTCTATGTTTCTCTGAGCCTGTGAAGAGGGGGTTTTGTGTCACTTTCCTCCAATCAGCTCCCAGATTAGACTCAGCTCTGTGCTCTAGCTCTGCAGTGTGTGTGACGTCATATGGACAGAGGACTGAATTCTAAGACACCTCAAAAATCAAAGTGAAAAAATTATGCAGCAGGCTAGTCCATTTTGCTGAAATTTCATTGCAACAACTCAAAATGGTACTCAGTAGTTTGTATGGCCCCCATGTGCTTGTATGCATGCCTGATAACATTGGGGCATGCTCCTAATGAAACCACAGATGGTGTCCTGGGGTATTTCCTCCCAGATCTGGACCAGAGCATTACTGAGCTCCTGGACAGTCTGAGGTGCAACCTTGCAGTGTCAGATGGGCCGAAACATGATATCCCAGAGGTGTTCTATTGGATTTAGGTCAGGCGAGCGTGTGGGCCATTCAATGGTATCAATTTCTTCATTCTCCAGGAACTTCCTGCATACTCTCGCCACATGAGGCTGGGCATTGTCATGCACCAGGAGGAACCCAGGACCCACTACACCAGCGTAGGGCCTGACAATAGGTCCAAGAATTTCATCCCGACACCTAATGTCTAGCCTGTAGAGGTTTGTGTGTCCC